CCTCTGCAGCCCTGCAGGTGGCCTTTGGCTCGCTCTACAGGGACGATGTGCTGATCAACCCCAGCCGCGTGGTGGCGCTGCTGGCCGCAGCCTGCATGCTGCAGCTGGTGAGTCAGAAACAATGCCATTCCTTCTGTCCTTACCTGAAGGGAACGCAGCAGTTCAGGGCATCCTCGCCCACGTGGCCGTTTGCACCCAGAGGAATGAATCAGCTTTTCAGGCTAACTGGGGAAAAAGCCAAACACAAAGCAGTGGGTTTATTGGAAAATGCTGTGACTAAGGTTGAGGTGTGAGATTAAGTGATTTGTGAGTGATATCTACAAGTAGATTAAATAGGTTTTGGAGCTCGCTTGCTCTACCCTGAGGGCACTCAGTACCCTTTTCTTTCAAGGGAAATGTTCTTTAGGAACATTGTGTTTCTGAGGAATGATGTTTAAAGGGTTTGAACAGCATAGCACCAGTCACTGTGGGACTTGGGGGATGGCTCAGGCATGAAAATCTGTGTGAACAGCACAGAGCCTGACATTTCCTGTTGGGAAGTGAACACTCAGAATGTCTGCGTGCTTTTTCCTCCCTGCAGGATGGCTTAATCCAGCAATGTGGTGAAACAATGAAGGAAACCATCACTGCCCAAACTGTGTGTGGTTATTACAATTCTGCAGGGACATATGGACTGGACTCCGTGAAGAAAAAGTAAGAATTGCTGTCTCCAAACTGCTTTGGACATTGCTAATTAGCACTGGATTTACACACAGTAGCATAATGACCAGGTTAATTGTTTCAATATTTTTTTGGAATAGAATCTTAGAATATCAAAGTTGGTAGAGATCTATAGGATCATCCAGTCCAACCACCCACCCAGCACTTCCACTGAAACCACTAAACCACATAATCCAGAGCCAGACTCACACCCCCAGGGTGGAGGTGGGACTCTATTCCAATGCCTGACCACCCAAACAGGGAAAAAACATCAAGTGCCCAATCTGAATCGATTGAATCTGTCCAGCTCTTTCTGCAGAACCCTTGTGCCCTCCTGCAGACCCACAATCCCACCCAGCTCAGTGTTGTCTGCAAATTTACTGAGGGAGCAGCACTGTTGACCCAGAGAAGGAACAAGCAGAGGTCCTAACTCCTGGCTTTCCTTGCAGGTGCCTTGAGTGGCTCTTGAACAATCTGATGACTCACCAGAGTGTTGGACTCTTCAAGGAGCTCAGGTGCTGGGGCTGCACTTCCCTTAGTGGGGCTGCAGGGATGGAGGACAGTCCCTGCCCAAAGCTGCAGCCCACTGAAGATCCTTTCTGGCCATTGCTGGTTGCTTGTTCCCTGCCTCCCCTTCTCCTTTTTCTGTTTTGTGTCTCACTGACCTGTTACAATTGATTTTTTCCAGCATAAACCTCATGAAGCAGCTGATCAGCTCCTCCAACCTGTTTGTGCTGCAGGTGGAGATGGATGTGTACACTGCTCTCAAAAAGGTGCTTGCCTGGGGCTCAGTGCAGTGAACCTTTGTGGGGTTGACTGGAAGCATTTAATGGAATAGCAGAACTTTTGTAGAAATGAGTGCACTGTGGAAATGTCTCTTATTAGCATGCAGATTTCTTACTGAAACGTCAGCCGACTCACTAGAATTTCTTTGTTTTGCCCAGTGGATGTTCCTTCAGCTCGTGCCTTCTTGGAATGGCTCTTTCAAGCAGGTGCTGACTGAAGCTGATGCCTGGTTTGCTGAGCGCAGGAGAGGTAGGAGCTGCCAGCCCTTGGCTCGGGCTTTGAACACCAGTAATTCTCCATTTTAATGCCAGAAGCCACTCAATAACCCTAATAAAATCAAAGCCGTTGAACACCAATAATAACTTTTTCTAACCCATAAGTAAAACCTGCAGTATAAACAGGTGTGGGAAGGATTTGGGGGCCAAACCACGGTGTGGGTGCTGTGTTGCAGAGTTTGGGGGCGACGTTGCCTTCCTGGAGTCGGCGCAGGGCAGCGCCTTCGTGCCCGTGTTCGCTCACCTGAGGCTGCAGTACATCATCAGTGACCTGGCCTCGGCCAGGATCGTGGAGAGGGACGCCCTGCTGCCCTCAGGTGAGGCAGGGAGGGAGGGCTGGCACGGCTGGGCCTCCCTCCACTCCTGCCTTGGGTTCCTTCAGCCCAGGGCAGACACGCAGGGGCTGGGCCTGTGCCAGCGGGGACAGAGCTGGGGAGGGGGCTGGAGCTGGTGGGTGGCACTGTGGGGACAGGGAGAGGGGACACAGGGTGGTACTGCAGTGACAGGGAGAGGGGACACAGGGTGACACTGTGGGGACAGGGAGAGGGGACACAGGGTGACACTGTAGTGACAGGGAAAAGGGACATAGGCAGCTGGGTGGCACTGTGGTGACAGAGAGAGGGGATACCGGGTGGCACTGTGGTGACAGAGAAGGGACACAGGCAGCTGGGTGGCACTGTGGTGCAGGGAGAGGGGACACAGGGCAGGGAAAAGGGACACAGGCAGCTGGGTGGCACTGTGGTGACAGAGGGGACACAGGGTGGTACTATAGTGACAGGGAGAGGGGATACAGGGTGACACTGTAGTGATAGGGAAAAGGGACACAGGCAGCTGGGTGGCACTGTGGTGACAGAGAAGGAACACAGGCAGCTGGGTGGCACTGTGGTGACAGGGAGAGGGGACACAGGGTGGTACTATAGTGACAGGGAGAGGGGACACAGGGTGGTACTGCAGTGACAGGGAGAGGGGACACAGGGTGGTACTGCAGTGACAGGGAGAGGGGACATAGGCAGCTGG